ATCATTGTAAAAAAGGCTGATAAGACCAACATTTTCGTCATTCCAAACAAATTGGATTACAACAAAAAAACCTGACCACATACTCCATGATCACAAAAAGTTTAAAAAACTCAACAAGAACCCGACAATCCAACTAAAATCAAAGCTTAATAAACTTATTAATGCTAATAATGCCGAACAGAATTCTTTAAAAACTTGCTAAAATTGTTGGTGATTATAGACCCGGCTACATATACGTCACTATAAAGACACAAATCTAACTATCCTCTTCGTCCTATCATATCGCAAATTCTAACTCCTGTATATCAACTAACAAAATACATTAACCAACTTATTACCCCCTACCTTCCTAGTAAATATAGTGTTAATTCAATGGAAACTACTTCTTCTTCTTCTACGGAAGTCCCTTTCTTAGATCATAGTAATATATATATATATATATATATATATATATATATATATATATATATATATAACGAGATGGTGTCTCCATGGGTTCAGTACTGGGTCCGAGATTTAGCAATTTCTACATGTCAAACCCCGAAAATAAGATATTTACAGATGTTAAAAAACCTTCCATGTTGATGATATCCTTATGTTAGTTAAAAATACAGATCAAATACTTTAACTTCAAAAACGTTTCCAAAATAATTTTGTCCTTAAATTCACGTATGAACTCAATACTACTAATAAAATTCCCTTCCTTGACATATTGATAAATACAAATAATAACAAATTTACTATTTCGCTATACAAAAACCTACCAGCATAAATTCATGTACACTTAACTACAAAAGCAAATGTCCATATTACTACAAAATAGCAATTATAAAAAAAATCTAATACATCGTGCAGAAACTAATTCGTCTACAAAACAGATTTTTTACAGTGAACTAAAGAATATAAAACAGACACTTATTAATCATAGCTTTCCAAACTATATAGTTGATGAACAAATAAAATGCTTCCTTAGAAGTTTTAATACTAAGCAAATAGAACATAATACTGCTTCAACTAATATATTAATCTCTTATATCGTAGTCAAATGCATACTAATTAAACAAGATGAAAATCTACTAAAAAAAATTAGTAAATACTAATATAGCTAAAACAGATCCTAGCAAAAGTTAGGTTAATCATATACTACACTAAATCTAGTATATCCAACTTAATTATTCGCAATGAGTCTTCCCCCCCTCCCCGTTAGCGATTTGCAAAATATTTTGATTTTTGCAAGAATTCAAATATCAAAGTGTTTTTACCGCAAAAGCGGCTAAAATTTCCTATATTAATGTTTGCCACTCGCCACCTATGACGCAAGAAAAACAAATTTTTTAACCAGAATTTTGAACGTTCTACAAAGATTAAAATATGTAATTATATAATGAAAACATACTTTAGTATTTACTCTTAATTATAACATAAATATTTCGACGATAAAACTGTTTTAATCAAGTTTGGGACATTTTTTTTTTTCATCATGGCATGTACTTTTTCACCGAATTAGTAGAGTTACCTATGTAAATAGATGAAAGAACAGTTACGGGTGCAATAGTAAGAAAATTATCATTGCTTCGAGTTAAAAAGTATTGTATGTTGGTAATGGATAAGCAGCTTGGATTGAGGAAACAGAGAGCCGAATTCGAATTCCACTTGAATCCATCACATTTACTTACGTGCTAATGCCTTTGAGAAAGGTATGAATCCTCTTCTTCTCCCCCCATCTATGGTTAAATAGCAGGACAGACGGTTTTATAGCCTTGGATGGCAACTGGTCTACCGTAAAAAGAAATAGCAACGTACTGCGGCAAAAAAAAAACTGCCTTGTCAGTCATGTATCAAAAGATACATGATCGCGTAAGCGTGTATCACGCATGGCACATAACTGACTGAAGTTGGAGAGAGCCATAATCTCCAACGTCCTGGGACGCAACCCATAAAAGATAGAAATGCATTGTAAACGATTATATTTTTAAGCAATGTATTGAACTTAAAAGTGACTGTTAGGGGACAGGAATTAAGACAATTTTTATTGTTAACATCGTGCTTATAACAAAAAAGGGAGAAAATAAAGATACGATTATTAGTTGGATTCGAGCCCATTTTGAGCTTCAATAAAATTCATCTCTCCTTGATCATACCTGCCAGTTCAAATATCATTTCATTTGCGTGATTTTCTTTCTCACTTTGATTTTTATCTCGTCCCGCTCTGTTTGTTGTGCTCATTAGGATTTATTCACATCTGTTACTTTCCAAGACGGGTGACCTTTCATTCACTGCCGTGTCACTGGGTCAAATTGGCTTGTCTTCGTATCAAATTCAACTTGGTTCATCACCTACTGGGTCACAATTCCACGAATTTGCCTTTTCCAATGGAATCCGCTACGTAGTTGCTTACTGACCTCGAAACGAACATTCAGATCTTCTAGAGCCAGAAATAAACAAAGCTAATTAACCTTGCTCAAACGCGCACACACAAACACACATACCCCTCTCCCACCCTCTCTCTCTCTCTCTCTCTCTTTCTCTCTCTCTCTTTCTCTCTCTCCCTTTGTCTATCTATTTCTCTTTCTCTTCCTCTCTCTGAGTTATATTTATCAGAATTTTTTATCAATTCACCTCAAGCAAGGCGATAATGCCACTAAGAAGCAAGGGGTTACTGACAGAGAATGAGAATGTGAAGACTTTAGAAGGAACAGTAAGCCCAACCCTAAACAAGAAAACAAAGGATAAACCTCTACTCCTGACTGGAGAGATATGTGAACCGGACGATAAGCGAACCTATCTGCTATAACAATTTCAGGGATTCATGGATTTTATTATTTTAATCCGACATTATATATATATATATATATATATATATATATATATATATATATATATATATATATATATACAGGAGAATCCTCATATCAGTGCCTCATATCCGAATCCCGCATATCCGGACATGATTTTCATGTGTATATTTGAACTATTTGGGTGATATGTAATTGATTTGAAATTTCTGTTTTTCAGGAAATTTACTTTGGATAATTCCTTATGCTTATTTCACCCTCATGGCTTGTATTGGTGCAAAAGATGATGGGAATAAGAGGAAAAGAACAACTTTTGGAGTTATCGCAAAAAGTGGAAATTTTAAACAGACTAGACGCTGGTGAAAGTTCATTGTAACTAATGGCGGAGTTCAACATAGGAAAGTCAACATTGTATGATATAAAATCTTCCAAATAAACAATTTTCCAGCGATCACACTCTCACAATGAACAAGGAAATAAAAAAAAACATAATTGTGATGAAACCTGCACTGAAATTGAAAAAGCTATTGAAAAGGTTGTCAGTTTTATGGAAAGAAAGCCAGCATTCAGCCATGACGATTGCAATAACGCACGCAGAGTTAAAAAGTATCTTTTCGTTTTATAAAATTTTAAGAACAAAAGCAAAACGAAATACGGAAAAAGTTGAGAATGATATTAGAAGAGAAAGAATCATCATGGAACAGCGATTAAAAAATCCTCGTTACATTATTTGTTTTGCATACGTGGCATACTTAATTTAATCAAATTTCTTTAACATTACATAATTTCTTTTACCTTAAAGTTAATTCCGTTATATATTAGCTTATTTTGTTTACTATAAAACATTAAAAATAAATGTTAAACCTGATTTCAGTTCTTTTATTATTATCTAAATAACACTCCTCATATCCGAACTTTGTAACCAATTCCTCATATCCGGAAGGTCTTCTTAGTCCGGTTGTTAGGACTAAGATTATTAGTATTTATCTGTATTAGATTATATTTTTGATACCCGTGTTTGATTAGACGCTCTGTTTTTTTAAACAGTTTACTTCGTCTGTATATTTTGGATTAAAAAATAAAGCCTATTAATTCTTAAGAAATTGCTTTATTTACTATTCGAATATGAAACTGAGCAGGCATGGCTTTCGAGAAAACCTGAGCAAGTGAATGTGCTTTCAAGGCAAATTGCTTGATTGTGAAGCTATCCGTAGCTTAGCGGTCAAATTATGCCGAATCAGAGAGTGGTTTCTCCTACAAAACGGGATACAGTTTCGAATCCTGTCGCATGGCACATTCTCTTTATTAAGTCTTCTCAAGTAAGCAGGCCGGTAGACGAAATAAACACTGTTTTTAACAAAATCGAAGCGTCTAGTCAAATATGCACTAAATATAACGTTTGAAATAATAAAATAGATATTAAACTGGACGTTTGGCCGAGTGGTTAGAATGTTCGCTTTCCGACAATTCTGGTTCGAATCTGCCCATGGTCGATTTGCCAGGAAAGTGACTTCATGTTATCTGCAGCGTTCGGCAACATTGGAAAACCATACTTCGTGTTGATCCAAGCATTGTTGAGCGAAATTTGGTAGACGGAATTGTTCGTCGAAAATAGTCATCGTAACCGGGGCTTTTAGTGTACTGGGCTTGTTCAAACTGATCTTTTCTATTAATTCACCCCAAATAATGTATATTTAACGCAAATATTAATTCGCCCCAAGAAATTCTAAATTCTAAATTAAGGTTTGTTTGGTTTTTATTAAATTTTTGCCACCATTTTGAAATTACAAATATTAAATCGAAGTTTGTTTTTTATTAATTTTTTAGCATTCTTTTGAAATTATAAATTTCAAATCAAAATTTGTTTATCTTGTCTTGCAAGAACCCCAACACTCAAATTACCAAAAATCATGGAGTTATTTACATTTGGTAAGTTCGGATGATATTCGAGTTACAAGGAATTTTAGCAAAAAAAGAGGGAAAAAATGTTTTTGGCTTCTTTATCGGGGTGAGTGCGAATGCTGACCCTACACTTAGAATTAGCGCATCTGAGTCGCCCACATTTGGGGCAACCGCAAAGGTCAACCCAACCCGAGTTCAATGGAAGGGCTGCGCTCTGAAAGAATTTGGGTTGAATTCTAGTAAATATAAATTCTTTTTATTTTGGGATTAATTAACAGAAAAGATTCGTTCAAACTGTTGGCCATGCCAGATAAGGCTCTCTCTCTCTCTCTCTCTCTCTCACACACACACACACACACACTAGCTCTCTCTCTCTCTCTCTCACTCTCACTTTCTCTCACTCTCTCTCACTCTCTCTCTCACTCTCACTTTCTCTCACTCTCACTCTCTCTCACTTTCTCACTCAATCTCTCACTCGCTCTCTCTCTCACTCGCTCACTCTCACTCTCTCACTCGCTCTCTCGCTCTCTTTCTCACTCTCTCACTCGCTCTCTCGCTCTCTCTCTCACTCGCTCTCTCGCTCGCTCTCCCTCTCTCACTCTCTCTCTCACTCTCTCTCACTCTCACTCTCACTCGCTCTCTCTCTCACTCTCTCACTCACTCACTCGATCTCTCTCTCACTCTCTAACTCTCTCACTCGCTCTCTCGCTCGCTCTCCCTCTCTCACTCTCTCTCTCACTCTCACTCGCTCTCTCTCACACTCTCACTCACTCTCTCACTCGATCTCTCACTCGATCTCTCTCTCACTCGCTCTCGCTCTCTCTCTCTCTCTCTCTGAAACTGTAACTCAGTTCGAGCATGAACTACAAGTGGGCTATGTGGGTGCTGAACAAACACGAATATACCTGTGCAGGCGTCTGAAGCAAGGTGGGTCTAGCCGCCCTAGCAGACAGACATAATCAGATACGAACTCGACGCACCTATTACCATATAATCGGCCGACGGTACTAGCATCCCAGTAATGTATATTCACGGATCTTCATGGATAGTAAAGCAATTAACACGAAAAAAGCAGGAGTTTATTTTTAAAAATTAATCCATTTTTCATTGTTACATTAAATAATACCCGCATAAATGAAAACTTGCTGACTAAATACCATCATCATTCTCCTCATCATCATCGGTTCCATGAGAGGGTGTGGTCGTAGCGTCGCTGTGCAGCTGGGTACCTGAAAAGCCGAAGAGGCATTTATTCATGCGCAGCGTGTCTTGAGCGAGTAGACCAAGCGGAGCCCATCCCTCTCAATGTCAAACCACAGCCGATGCCCTCCAACTTACGAACACGCGGCCTTTGATTCCATCGGAAGAACTCTGCTGCCTTGTCCGTTGACTTTAGCCTAGGAAGCCCTCCGTCCACCGATATCTACATATGCTTTATTCTATCTATCTATCTATCTATCTATCTATCTATCTATATATATATATATATATATATATATAGATATATATATATATTGATGTATATATATATATATATATATACGTACATACATACATATATATATATATATATATATATATATATATATATATATATATATATATATATATATATATATATATATATATATATATATATATATATATATGGATTTAATGTTAATCCTACATATTTTTATTACTTAAATGTTATTTTTAGTGGGCATTCGTATTTGAGTACCTGCTCCGTTTATTAAACATTATATTTATTTATTTATTGTCGCCCGGTCTGAATATTCGAGAAATCATATTAGAAAAATAAACGTTTAAATAATACATATATATATATATATATATATATATATATATATAGAGGAGAATGATGATGGTATTTAGGTATATATATATATATATATATATATATATATATATATATATATATATATATATATATATATATATATCAATTTGTGACTGGTAGGGATGATTTCAAGAAGGATATTAATCCAAAGAAAGCTCAATGTAAATTTAAATTACAGAACATTATAAAAATAAATCAAGTAAAAACCTTAAAGATCTAGTTCGGTTATAATTTATAATATAAAGTTCTTAAAAAATTTATTAAGACCTTTCGGTCTGAAGAGATGAATATAAAAATATTCACGAAATAAATTATAACGGAAATGGATCTTTAAGGTTGTTTCTTGATTTATTATTAGTATATATATCGAGAGAGAGAGACAGAGGGAGAGAGATAGGTTTATATATATATATATATATATATATATATATATATAGAGAGAGAGAGAGAGAGAGATGAGAGAGAGGGGAGAACAGACAGAGAGAGAAACATAGGAAGAGATAGGTAGAGAGAGAGATATATATAGATAAATATAACTGGAGAAAAAGGTTTGTGTGACGCGTTTCAGCCTTTCGGACTTCTTCAGACTAAAGTGATATATTAAGTTGATGCGACTACACATGGGCAGGAAGGGGAGAGAATTTTAAAATTATTTTTTTATATATGTTTTGGGTATATAATCTAGCCGATTTCATTCTTTTTCTTTTTCTTCCTGCTTCCATCACTTTTGTTATTAAATGAACCAACTTTCTTATTTTACGCTATTTTATTATCACCAACACCCACAGTTATAGCATATATATATATATATATATATATATATATAGATAGATAGATAGATAGATAGATAGATAGTGGGGAGGCAAATATTCGAGTTACTTACAAGGAATTTTAGCAAAAAAAAGAGGGAAAAAATGTTTTTGGCTTCTTTATCGGGTGAGTGCGAATGCTGACCCCACACTTAGAATTAGCGCATCTGAGTCGTCCATTTTATTATCACCAGCACCCACAGTTATATATATATATATATATATATATATATATATATATATATATAGATAGATAGATAGATAGATAGATAGTAGGTAGGCAAAATTTGAACTAAAAGTTTTTCTTGTTTTTATGAAACCTGGTGCATGTTATTATCATAACCTTGCATAATAATTACCCACATTGTTTCAGGTAATTGTGCCAAAGGTGAGTGTTGTGGAAACCAAACGTCAAAGGTTGTGTGATATGATAAACGCACATGTTCACCCACAGAAGATTTCAAGCATAGTTGGATTATCCCTACGGACAGTTTATAATGTGAAAAAGAAAATGTCTATGAGGGAAACTTTTCAGAGAAAGCCTGGTTTGTGGCGGAATCAACAAAAAGTGCAATAATGGTTTCATCAGCTCTTTCAAATCCAAAGTTTCAAATGACCCAACGGAGTACATGAGAAAATTGGCAACTGAAGGCCAGAGAGATAGATATATATATATAGAGAGAGAGAGAAAGGCAGAAACAAAGAGAGAGAGAGAGAGAGAGAGGGAGGGACAGACAGACAGAAAGAGAAACAGAGGGAGGGATAGGTAGAGAGAGAGAAATATAGATAAATATAACTGGAGGGAAATCTATGACAAAGTGGAAAAGGTATGGTGTGACGCGTTTCGGCCTGTCGGACTTCTTCTTCTTCTCTCTCTCTCTCTCTCTCTCTCTCTCTCTCTCTCTCTCTCTCTCAAAACAACCCTTTAGGCGGAGGCTATGACTATCAGAAGAGCAATGAAAGATGACTTAAAACTAAAATCTTACATAAACACGAAAACATTCAGAGAGATAGGTATATATATATATATATATATATATATATAGAGAGAGAGAGAGAGAGAGAGAGAGAGAAACAGAGAGAGAGAGAGGGGGGATAGACAGACGCGTTTCGGCCTGTTGGACTTCTCTCTCTCTCTCTCTCTCTCTTTCTCTCTCTCTCTCTCGCTCAAAAAAATGTTCTTACTAATCTTAAAAGAAACATGTCCACTGTAGAGGTTTTCTCAAACGAAAAGATCTTTACTGTTGCGCTGTTCTGAATCGCTGAAATGAGATACATTGCACACTCAAAAGTTCATGTCAAGGGCACTTTCGAAACGAAGCATCCAACGGAAGTTATGGTCTTTGGAGTTGTTGCTTCTGAAGAGAATAAAACTGCCTATCAAATTTTGCAAACCTGGTAAAAAAAAACAAACTTAATGCTGATATCTATTACAAGACCCTGGGATACAATATATTACAATGGCTCAAAGCCAACAACCCAGATGGAAACTATGTATGGACTCAGAATGGTGATCCTGTCCATACAACCAAAAAAAGTAGAGAATTTCTGCAAATCCAATTTTGCAGATTTTTGGCCATCACACTTCTGGCCCTCTTCCAGCCAAGATCTCACCCTCTAGATTATGCTGTTTGGAGCCTTTTAAAACATGCTTCGAATGGAACCGCTCATCCAAACGTTAACTCTCTTATGTATACCATTGGAGAAGAGTGAGACAAGATGTCCTCTTGTTTTTGGAGAAGAATTATACAAGTTTCCGGAGGAGCAGTAAAAGGTGTGAGGCTGTAATTGAGGAACAAAGAGAATATATCGAATAAAATGTTTCTTTCGTTTTGTATTTGTATGTTGGGACCATTTGTGTTTCTTTAAATAAATTAATTAATCAGTTATAAGACCTTTTTTTTTATTTCAATACCAAAATTATGCAAGTTTTGCCTCCCCACCCAGTTATGAGCCCAAAATTCAAATTAAAAATCAAAGATACCAAAATCAAAAAAGCACAAAAAATCTAAATTGAAATATCTGGGAATTATTCTAACAGAGGACGGAAAATGCGACAACAAAATCCGAAGACACATTGGGATGACCAAATATGTCTTCCAGAAGCTAAGCAAAGTATTAAGAGACAAAAAAAACATCGTTAGAAACAAGGAAAAGAGTATTGAACTGTCACGTGATATCTGTTCTCCTATATGGCAGGGAATTCTGGACAGTTTGCTCAAAGATGAAGAAGAGTCTTGAAGCAACAGAAATGTGGTTATACAGAAGGATGCTGAGGATACCATAGACCAAACAAGTCAACTTTGACGAGGCTTTAGAAAAATAGAAACAAAAAGGAAACTCATATTTAACATCAGAAAGATACAGTTGGAATTTCTAGAACATAATGAGGAAGGACGGTTTGGAAAATCTGATACTCACATGACAGATTTAGGGCAAGACGGACAGAGGAAACTACGAATAACATACTTATGAGCTTGAATAAATGGATGGTGGTACAGGATTTAGGAGAAATAACGAAAAGACAAAATTTATTAAGAGCTACAAAAATCAGGAAATTGTGGAGAGCTATGATCATCTACATCCTGGGGTGTGGTCAGTATATAATGAATTATGTAGATAAAACCAGAGAAGATTACTTGTTCATATGAAACTGTGTGAGAATACCATGGCCCCAGCAAATGAGCAACGATGCAGCTTTAGAGAAAATGGAAACCAAAAAGAAACATATACTTAACATCAGAAAGATACAGTTGAAATTTCTAGGACATATAATGAGGAAGGAGGGTTTGGAAAATCTGATACTCACAGGAGAGATTGAGGGCAAGACGGGCATAGGAAAACTACGAATAACATACTTAATAAGCTTGAATAAATGGTAGGTGGTACAGGTTTTAGGAAAAATAACGGAAAGAAAAAACAGGAAATTGTGGAGAGCCACGATCGCCTACATCCTGAGGGGACACAGCACACGAGGAAGTATGTAGATAAAACTAGAGAAGCTTACTTGTTCATACGCTTCCATTTCTCACAAAGAAGGATTATTTCGATCATAATCTTCTGTTTATGCGTGATTTGAATTCCTTGTTTGTTTGAGATTAATTTACCTCTCGGCCGTTTTGTTTTTTTTTTTTTTTTGTTTGCTCATTTAATCTTTGGATTAGATTGGCATTTTAAAATCTGGGTTAATGAGCTGT